TGTGGGACATCTCTTCTGTTCGCTGGCTGGGAGCCTTGGCCTTGATGATTGACCATCTTGAGTGTTATTTTACCAGCATTCCTTTTTCTCATATCAGTACATCTCGTCTGCTGAGCTCCAAATGATCCTCAGCCACAGTATCCCACACAGTCCCACATAGGGACTAATGTCTCACACATTTGATAACTTAGTGCAGGTCTTCTCTTTCTCTGAGAAATACCATCCTTATGTTGTCTGAAGAAGCAGACTAAATCCTGCATATGTGTTAGAAGCAGACTAAATTCTGCATATGTGTTACACAAGTATTCCCTCATCTCACATTTTATAATGTCCACCTCTTATAAGGAATGACGTGGGATTTTAGGATAACCTAATTCTACCAACCTTACCTTTTCTACACAACGAATGCACTGCACTTATATATACATGTGTATATCTGTTTGTAATTGAAGATGTATGGACTTGTATAGTTTCCTGTACAAATGATGCAATGATTGATTTATATTTTGAATGACTCTTTCACATGGGCTTCAGCAGTGCATATATGCTATATATTTTTATAAGGGTCTCGTTAACTGCCCTGATTATTTTTCTGCCACAAAACCACCCCCTGTACTAATTGCTTGCTCTTAAAGCATACTGGCCGCAGGGCATTTCAGAAGCTCGACTGCATATTGGGCAAGCTCTGACCTACAGGAAATTGTAGAAATACTACACATGCTTTCTGTGGCATACTATGTCTGTTTAAATCAGAAAAAAGATATATGTTTATATCAGAAGAATAATATCTTTATTTTTTAATTCTTTTTTACCTCCAAAGCTAAATGTGGAAGTGGATTAAGCAATGAGACTTACAAAAAATTATAGAAGTACTATGTATGCTGCTTGTAGCATATTAATTCTATTTTCATCAGAAAACTTTAAACTTTAATTTGTTTTGTGGCCTCAAAAGCTAAATGGGGATGTGGTTCAGGCAATGAGGCCTACAAAAAAATGTGGAAACACTATGGGGGAATTTATAAAAACTGGAGCAGGCAGAATCTGGAGCTGTTGCCCATAGTAACCAATCAGCATCTATATTCAGTCTGTTCAGTTAAGCTTTGAAAGTGAAAGATAGAAGCTGATTGGTTGCCATGCAAAGTTGCTACAGCATTTGTCTGCTCCAGTTTCCCTCTATATATGTTTTGTCTAGAATATGACTTCTATTTTAATCTGAAACATATATACTTTATTTTTTTATCCTCCAAAGCTATTTGGAAATGTGTATGCCTATAGCATATTATATCTGTTAAAACCAGAGAAATATTAACTGTATTTTTTTTTACCTCCAAAGCTAAATGGGGATGTCAATTAGGCAATGAGGTCTACAAGAAATAATTTCTATTCAGTGTGCAAAATCTTCTTTCCTTTTTAGTGTAAAAAATACAGTTGCATAAATTGGGTCAGTGTTACATAGTATTTGAGGTTGAATAAAGACATTAGTCCATCAAGTCCAACCTATTAGGATCTCATTCTAGGAGTACCTGTACCCCTGTATATTGCGGTCCCTTAAGAAATTGTCCAAAAGTTTCTTGAACAATTCCACATTATTTGCTGAAATCACCGCCTGTGGCAGTGAGTTCCAGACCCTAACTGATCTTACTGTGAAGAACCCCCTTCGCCCCTTGTGCTGGAATTTTTTTTCAACCAATTTTAGGTGGTAGCCTCTAGTTTTTGTAATGGAGTCAAGTGTTAAAAGTGTTAAAATGTGGCCTACTCCAACTGCTGAAATACTGTCTATGTACAATATTCAATTTTTGGATATTTTTTTGGATTTTTGGATGAGAAGTTGCATGCTTTTAAGTGTCCTTTTCAAAATGCGACCTAGTAAAACAGCTTACATGATGTGCAGCTTGTGTGTGCAATATTTCTTTCTGTTGTCTCTGACATAATACACTGCAATTTTTATTTCATGATCAAATCTGCCTCACCGCTCCCTCTTACAGCATGTAAAATTGCTAAAATAATGTGCCCAGCATCCGGTTGCTGTGTCTGAAATAATACACTCTCATTTTTATTTCATTAAAAAACTGCCTCATCTCTCCCTCTTTCTTTTCAGCCCAATCAAGCTGCTTACATATGTTCCAGCAAAGCCTTCCAAAAACGTTTAGATCTGTTGTGTCAGCTACTGCCACTTCAAAATTCTAGTCTATTTCTGCAAGATAAAAAAATCAGATGTTAACTACCTAAAATACCCTTTTCAAGCATGCCATTTGAATAGTTGGTGTCTTCCAATGTCACCCTCGAAGTCACATAAAACAGGGGGGCCTCTCCTCGCTGAACAGTATTTTTTTTTTTAGAAACACTAACTAACCCTAAGTAAATCCTAACTAACTAACTAACTAACTAACTAAAAGAAGCATTTAAAAAAATGTAAGCCTATGAACCTCTCCTCGCTGAACAGTATTTTTTTTTTGCATTGGTACATGTCTCTCATTGCAGTATATAGCTCCCCATCCCTTTGTTTGACAATCTCTTGCCTATTAGTTTTAAAGGAAAGTTTGCATTTCAAACCCAAGCACATGCGCTCATCACCCCTGGCCAAATAATACCAAAAGTTTATGACTTAAAGTGTATATACAAACAAACATTTAAAGTGAAGCTCCAGCTTTATCCACCCAAGCCCTGACTGTCATTCAACCGAGAAGACAGGTTTTTTAATACAGGGGGAGGGTTATAGTTGAAAAATATATATGTTGCTAGAATTCTGGTTTAATGTGTATTTTATAGTGAAATCTGTGGATTGTGTCTCTCTCATTAGCTTCATTAACATGCAATACAGAAGCCAGGCTTTTACAACTATAACTCTTTAAGACAGGCAGTGTTCAAATCTACTTTACAAATGATAATGAAATGAGCTAGCACAGTACAGATATGGTTAAAAAAAACCTCACAATTTCTCCTAACATTCCAAAGAAGCAGAAACAAGTAAAACGTTTAACTTAAGAAGGCAAGAAACACTAACTAACCCTAAGTAAATCCTAACTAACTAACTAACTAACTAACTAAAAGAAGCATTTAAAAAAATGTAAGCCTATGCTATATAAATGGGAACATGTAACAAATATAAAATAGGTGTTATCCCAATTTGGCCACAAAAGTGGAAATACACTTTAAACTAAATATGTTAAATATGTTATTTGATAATCCTACCAGCAAGCTGTATCCACAAGCACTTGGGTGATGTTTACTCATTTAAGATGTAGTGTTGTCAACTTTTCATGCAAGCTCCAGGGTTGGACTACAAGAAGCTGTGCCAATGCACAGTGAATTTTCATGTTCCATTGTAATAACCACAGTAAAATTGTTAACTTGTTCATAGCATGTTACTATAAAAAGTCTACAGTATGTGCACAATGCAGGGAGAGAAAACATGAACAAACTAAAAGTCAAATTATATTTTTGTACTAAAGTTATATACAGAATCCTGTTTTACAGTTCTCTTCAAAACTAAGAATTATTTTGTCAGAGTTCAGTTTTAGATGTGACTAAAAAACACATTATGAAGCATGATTTTCCTAGGGCTAATTAACATTTTCAGTGAATCATATTGAAAAAGTTGTTTACCTGTTGTGCTTTAATGGTGTTAATTTCAGAATTAATGTAGGATTTTGTATTTCAGTCTTTTTACTTTCTCTAATGCTTTTGCTGCTGAATGGTATTGTGCCATGGGCTGTTGTAGTAGAGCAACATTATTATATATTCCTGAAATACCAGCTCAGCCAGGTAACGTTTGGTCAGCCTTCCAGCACCAACCTCTTTTTTTATGCGGTACAGCTATTGCTCTTTTTGTAACACACACACCTAAACTCTAGTGCATGCATTTTATACACAATAGGAGAAAGTTAGAAAAATTAATTTATTCTTAGCTTATCTTTAATCAACCAATATATATTTTAGTAAACATAGTAACTCTTAACTACAATAACCAGCCATCAGATTACAAATAGAAAAAAGGCCAACATACACATAGTGGATGATGTATAGATCAACCGCCCAGCCATACGCTGGGAGGATGCCTTTCTCACAGCATTCCCACTACCAGATGGAGCCACGTGAACAGCATTCACCCAGCGTATGGCTGCGTGGAAGATTTATAAAACATTCCCACAATGTGCAAAATACATTTATGTGGAAACTATATGAATTACTATGACTATATGTCATTTTACAATCAAGTATCCCAC